TACCCTGAGAGGCTGGATGGGATCCCAAGCCATCTTCAATTTCAGCAATTTTCCCAATAGGACAGCTGCACACCTGAACATTCCTTCTTCCGATGAGGAAAATTTCCGCCCATTCAGTTTGAGAAGAGTTTTAAAAAAAAATCTGGTGTTCTGAAGTACAGTTAACACATTATCAGAAAATTATCATAGAAACTAGCTGAAAATATTTGCCAAATAAGTCCAGGAAATATTCAGCTGTTTCAACTTTCAAAATAACACTTCAAAAATATAAGATACTTTTAGTTTGAAAACATTTTGCTTTATATCATCAGCACAAGCTGCATTGAACTTTTGACATTTAGTACAGTCCTCCCGTCAACTACCATATTTCCATTACTTCTCACACCCAGATTGTTTCCCACGACCTTGTGTCTAGAGGAAGTCTGCTTTTTACTTTGAGAACATTTCTGTCAGATACAAGCTGAAGGACATGGTGTGTCTATATCTTATGCCCTGATCTTCCACTACAAAAAGAAGAAAATGTAGCTCAATGTGAAATGGTATTTTACCCTTGAGATAGGTGCCACTCTCGAGGAACCTAATCCATAGTCCTTAAATAATTATTAGAGGCCACTCAAGAAATGGTCTAGGACCTTTATTATATTCTTTTTGAGATTAGGAGTATTGCACTTCCTTGCCTTCCCCAAAAATTCTAGGCCCATTGTTGTGTCTCCCCCATCTTCCTAATAGATCATTTTCCCATTTTCCTCAATTTGCATCATAAAGCTGACTTAGAATCATAGAATCCCAACATTACGGAAATAGGCTAGTCGGCCCATCAAGTCGACACCGACCCTCCAAAGAGCATCCCCCAGAACCACCCCCAGCCTCCTACCATATCCCAGTACCCTGCATTTGACCTAGCTGATCCACCTAACCTGTACATCCCTGGCCACTTTGGGGCAATTTAGCATGGCTAATCCATCTAACCTACACATCTTTGGACTGTTGGAGGAAACCAGAGCACCCAGTAGAAACCCACACAGACACGGGAGAACGTGCAAACTCCACACAGATAGTCACTAAATGCTGGAATTGAATCTAGGTCACCAGCACTGTGAGACAGCTAACCACTGAGTCATCATGCTACCCTCAACTTGGCCTGTGCATCTTGCTGGATCAGGTGACACAATGAAACCCAGCCCTCAAAGGAGCTCAGCTTGCACAGCAAGAGCAACAATAACTCACTGGGCAGACGTGCTCAACCAACAAATTATCTGTACTGAATCCAAACTGTACATTTTCCTGTCGTCTTCCTTTTTATTTACTAATTCATGAGAAGACGGCATCACTGACAAAGCCAGGATTTAATGCATGTCCATAGGTGCCCTTGAGAAGTGGTCATGAGCTGCTTTCTTTAGTTGCTGGAATCCATTAGTCTGCAACAATGCTGTCAGGAAGTGAATTCCAGGCTTTTGACCCAATGACCCTGAAGCAATGGCAATATATTTCAAAGACAGGAGGGTGATTGGCTTGGAGTGAAATTTACAGGTCATTACTATTGTCATTCTAGATGGTAATAGTTATGTGCTTGGAAAGTGCTGTCTAAAGCACCTCAGTGAATTTTGCAGTGCATCTTGTAGATGGTACACACTGCTGTTGATGAGCGTCGGTAGTGGAGGTAATGAATGTTTGAGGATGTGGTGCTAATCAAGGTGGCTATTTTGTAAGGGATTGTGTCAAGTTTTTTTAAGTATGGTTGAAGCTGTCTAGGCCCGAAACGTCAGCCTTCCTGCTCCTATGATGCTGCTTGGCCAGCTCTACACCTTGTTATCTCAGACTCTCCAGCATCTGCAGTTCCTACTATCTCTGAAGCTGTAGCCATCCAGGCAAGTGATGAATATTCCATCACGTTTCTGACTTGTGCCTTGTAGATGGACAGGCTTTGGAGAGTTAGGAGGTGAGTTATTTACTATAGCCATGGTATTTATAAGGCTACAACAGTTTAATTTTTGTCCAAGGGTAACTCCTAGGACACTTTCCTTGGGGGAAATTTATAAGTTTTGAAGCAAATTTTCTTCTTTATTTCTCTTCTCAAACCAAGTGACACATGAGATGGACAAAGCATGTGCTTCTGTCTGTTTCCATGGCTAGTTTTCTTGGAACAAATTGCTTGCCTGCAGCCAAAGGGATGCCACTCACGTCAAGCGTGACTGACTTGGAGAGTTTGTCACTCTTCTCACCTGTCATGTATTTGAAGAATTTATAGACCAAATCAACTCATTTGATCAAGTTATGAATGCATTTTCTGGCATGTGATTCAAACCCAGAGCTACTACCTCAGAGGAAGGGATGTTATCCATTGTGCTACAAGACAATTATATCAATACAATTTTTTGTTGTTTAATTGGTTGAGTGCACTTTATGATTGTCAACGTGCATGAGGTAATAAAAGAGAAATATTTTCTGCCTTCTATCGTCACTGAAAGGTCTTAAATCATTTAATGGAATGGGCTGAACTTGAATCTGGGGATTTCTTTTTCCCAGGATTCTGGGAGCTGTATTTTACTCTTTCAAAGGACAAAATTCCCTTTGTTGCTCCCGATAATGATGGCAAACTATCTTCTTATTGCTATGTCTTACTGTTAGGCAGAATGTTTCATGCTTACTGTAGATGATACCGTTCCAGTTTAAAACTGTCATTGTTTATCTTCAATTAGGACTGAAATCTGACATTCTGCTTAAGATCCACAACCAAAAATGTAAATCTGTTTCTTTCCTTGCATATGCTGCCTGAGGATAATTACATTGAGAACAAAGAACATAGAACAGTACAGCACAGTACAGGCCCTTCGGTCCACAATGTTGTGCCGAACTTTTACCCTAATCCTAAGGTCTATCTAGCCTCCACCCCTACCTTATACTGTCATCCATATGCCTATCTAATAGCCACTTAAATGCCCCTAATGAGGCCGACTCCACTACCCTTTCCGGCAATGCATTCCACGCCCCTACCACTCTCTGAGTAAAGAACCTATCTCTGACGTCTCCCCTGTATCTACCTCCACTCATTTTAAAACAATGCCCCCTTGTAATAGCTACCTCCACCCTAGGAAAAAGTCTCTGGCTGTCTACTCTATCTATACCTCTGATCATTTTGTACACCTCTATCAAGTCACCTCTCATCCTTCGTCATTCTAAAGAGAAAAGCTCTTTCCTCGTAAGACCTTCCCTCCATTCCAGGCAACATCCTGGTAAATCTCCTCTGCACCTTTTCCAATGCCTCCACATCTTTCCTGTAATGAGGCGACCAGAACTGGACACAATACTCCAGATGTGGCCGAATCAGGCCTTTGTATAGCTAGACCATAACCTCATGGCTCTTGAACTCGATCCCTCTATTAATGAAAGCTAACACACCATACGCCTTCTTAACAACTCTATCCACCTGAGTGGCAGCTTTCAGGGAACTGTGAACATGAACCTCAAGATCCCTCTGCTCCTCCACACTGCCAAGAATCTTTCCGTTAACCCTGTATTCTGCTTTCAAGTTTGTCCTTCCAAAATGAATCACCTCACACTTTTCAGGGTTAAACTCCATCTGCCACTTCTCAGCCCAGCTCTGCATCCTATCAATGTCCCTTTGTAACCTAGAACAGCCCTCTGCACTGTCCATAACGCGACCCACCTTCGTATCATCTGCGTACTTACTAATCCACCCTTCCACTCCTTCATTCAAATCATTTACAAAAATCACAAATAGAAGAGGGCCCAGGACAGATCCTTGTGGTACACCACTTGTAACTGAGCACCACGTTGAATATTTTCTGTCCACTACCACCCTTTGTCTTCTAAGGGTTAGCCAATTCTGAATCCAATCTGCCAAATTTCCCCCTATCCCATGCCTCCTTACCTTCTGCATGAGCCTACAATGGGGAACCTTATCAAACGCCTTACTTAAATCCATGTATACCACCACATCCACTGCTCTACCTTCATCCACCTGTTTGGTCACCTCTTCAAAGAATTCAATAAGGTTTGTGAGGCAAGATCTACCCCTCACAAATCCATGCTGACTATCACGAATCAAACTGTGCCTATCCAAGTGATCATAAATCCTATCTCTCAGAGCCCTTTCCAATAATTTGCCCACCACTGACGTAAGACTAACTGGCCTGTAATTTCCAGGGTTATCCCTATTCCCTTTTTTGAACAAGGGAATGACGTTTGCCTCTCTCCAATCTTCCGGCACTATACCCGTGGACAGTGAGGACGAAAAGATCATCGCCAAAGGCCCTGCGATCTCTTCCCTCGCTTCCCATAGAATCCTTGGATAAATTCCATCAGGCCCGGGGGACTTATCTATCTTCAACTTCCTCAAAATTCCTAGCACATCTTCCTTACTAACATCGACCTCCTCTAGCCTACCAACCTGTTTCACACTGTCCTCCTTACAACTAGGTCAAGTTTCAAATTTCCACAATAAATATTGCTCTGCTTTTTTTTAGGGATGAAGTCTATTGTGGGCATAGAGCGAAAGCACTCATCTTTCCCTCCAAGACCTTGTCCAACCTACTTCAGCAGCCTCCTCTAGCCCTCCATCACAGTCTGTGTTCTTCAGTCTTCCACTTCTGGTCACCTGTGACTCTCCCATCCTTTTCTCTCAGTATTTATGACAGAGACATTCCTTTCTTGGGTCTGCTGTTCAGAATTCCCTCCCTGAACCTCTTACCTTGTTATCTCTCTCAGTGACTTTAAAAGCCTCCTCAAAACCAATTTTTTTTAACTGTTCCTTGATCAACTCTAGTTGGTAATTGTTTCACTGCTGTGAAGCCTCTTTGGGCTGTTCTTTCAAGGTTCTGTACAATTGCAAATCATTGTTTCTACTGAATTTGAGAGTTAACCTCTGAGAAATTGTTGAGAAGCAATAAATGGTTTGTCTAAAATGATCAAAACTGCAGCATAATAAAAGAAATAAACTAAAAATTAAATTTCTATTTTCTTCCTGCATGTTCTAAAAGTATACAAGTCCTGAACAGCAAGAAGAAGGTAGAAAGAGGTATGAAGCTCAGAAACTGGACCGTAAAGAGACAAAACAAAGGAGTGAAGATATCATCTTGCCTGCCATCAATGTGGGTAAGATGAACATTTATTTCCACATTTGTAATGACTTGAGGGATTGCTGAGAGATAATGGATGTCAAAACTTACACAATAGTGGCCAATGTAACACTTAACTTACCTTTGCAGGACAGAGAACAGATGAATCACTGCATTGAAAACATATACATTGTTTTACACCATCTAAGATTGACATTTGAAGTTGTCAAAACACTTTACACTTACCTGTCACTGTGATCTCCACACAAAGCACTCTAAACAATGTGCAGGAGGAAGTCTTACCTGTAGCCCTCAAATTCAAGATGCTTAGCTCAGAAGAGGTGTATATGTCTTGCTGCCAAAGCCTTTGTGACCTGCCTAAAAAAATGATAAAAAAAGAATTTTTCTTTAGCAAAAAGCAGTAAAGCTCATTGTTTTGCAACTGGTTCCTGCCTCCAATCGGAGACAAATGTCTTTCCCCATATGTAACTTTATCTGAAGTAGCTTGATTTGTGTTGATCAATTTCGTCATCAGCATTGATTTTAAAGGTATTATCTTTTGAAGCAATTATAATTTTAAAATGCATTTTTACCAAAGGGTTTATTTTAATATACTGGAAATTGTTTATGCTGGATATTTAAAGGCTTCATAATGCATAAATATGTACATATATATAGGTAGCAGAGTGTCAAGGGTCAGCCATCAGATGTAATCTCTTTTGCCAGACTCCAGTAGCTATTTACTAATTTATATCTTGGTCAAGGATCATACTCAATGCTGTGAAAATGTTACTTTAAACAGAGAGGAACTTAAATAAGTGGCATTCAAATTAAATAAATGACCTTCAAATACTCCTAAGGATGATAAAATAGAAAATAAGACATGTTGTAAAATGCCTGGTGATTTTTCTGTGTTGGAGGACAGACTTCAGCATTTCATTGTTTCTCTAAATGGTTCAAGAATTGTAGTTCAAGGACTCCCCTTTGGAGCTTCCATTTAATCATTTAAATTTAATCACTAAAGTGACTTGGTTAAAGTATGTCCTGACATTGAGGCAGTTACACACCATTCCCAATAAAAAGTGTCCCTAAAATAACTTTATTTTCCTTTTTTTAAATATTTGGAAGTGTTATCACACACAACTGAACACCTTTATTCCCACAACTAAATCACCCATGGTATTTTTCATCTGTTTTTATTATTTTAATTTTTTTATATGTCCAGAAGTGCTCTTGCACACAAATGAATGTTTTTATTCCCATCATCGAATCACCCGTGGTATTTCATCATCTAATAATCACCACCAGTAAATCACCCATATTTTCCAGCTGATTAATTTATACACAAGACCCATTAAGACAGTGCAGACACCAAAGGTGAGGGAAAGTAAGGAAGAGGGAGAGGATTAAAACAAAATAAGTTGGAGGGGGCCAAACTAACTTTTTTTTTCATTTTTTACTGTGCTACAAGAGCCCCAAAAGCTAAGGCAGATATATTTTCTAATCTATCCTGTTCAGAAATGTTATGACACACCTCTAGAGCAGGTGGGACTTGAACGTAGATCTCTTGGCTCAGAGGTAGGGACACTACCACTGTGTCAGTAGAGCCCAATGAACTCACTATTGTTTTTCTTTTTATATCCAGTAGTGCATCTATACACAACTGACCATTTATTTTCCACCCCATCACCAAATTATTCGTGATATTTTCTCATCTATCAATCATCACTAATAAATCATCCATACCTTCCAATTGATCAGTTAACATACAAAGCATGTTAAGAGCTTGAATTAACTTTCTCCTAAAGAAGGAAAACTACTTACACGTGTAGTATGTTATTGAGAAAAAAAAAGTAGAAGGAGTTCAGAACACAGCCAATTATAAACATAATTACCAGAAATTTTAGCAAGTTGATTAGATTGCTTATCTGCTGTGTTTTGTTTAAAAGCTGTAGGTCTATTTTTGAGTGGGGGGCATGTGAGGAGAGCTGCTGCCAAATGGATGGTTTTGAGAAGCTGTAGTGTATATGTAGGGGGCAAAGAGATTGTTTTACACTGTGATGATTATCAAGTTACATAACAAAGTACAAAATCACATTCTAACTGCAACCACAATGATCATCTTGGTGATTTTTTAAATGTTAGATTGGATTAGTAGTAGATAGTTCCAATTTATTTCCTCTCCTGATGGGCGTGGATGTCTTCACTTTACAGCAATAATTACTAGATAGTGACC